CCCCCCCCCAGCAAAATACACAATGGAAAGCCGTGCGCGCTCTGGTGGTAAGCAGAGGAAAAGCATGTAAACACCTTCCAGTCTCCTGTTAAAAGATACACTCCAATATTCTTTATGGGTCTGTTTCTTGCTCCTCCCCGCCCCCCGTTTTCTCTTCCCAGGTCAGCCTGATCCAATGACCTCCCTTTCTCATAGCACAGCCCTGACGTCAACTGGACTGGACTCCTTCTAGGAGGTAACGGAGAGACGTGTGGTGTCCGGGATGCGGCAGCTAGCCCTCCGCTGGGCTTGCTTTACTGATTGTCCTGGACAGGAAGCTGGGCTTCCCCCTCCCCCAGCTCTGGGCTTTCTCCATCTTCCCAGCCTGGTGGGGCTCCAAGGACCCAGGTGGAGGGCGAAGTGCTGGTGACCCCCTAGATGTTGAACCCCTCTTCCATGACAGCTACTCAGGAGTCACCATGGACATGGGCCTACCCTGGCTTGGCACCTTCACTGTCAAGAAGCCTGGGGGTATAGTGGGTTATGCCTTGGGTTGTGCACAAGATTCCACAGACGAAAGGTGAAGCCATCTGTCCCCTAGGGAGCTGTTATCCTACAGGGACACCGAGTAAGCATCCTTTTGCCAGCAGTGGGTGTGGCTTGGGTACACCTATGGGCAAAGGGGATGCTGCATTCCCTGGTGACTCCCTGGCTGCTGCTGCTGCTGCCTGTTCAGGGTTGGCAACTTTCCCGAATTGCTGAATGGGGCCGACCGGAGGCTTGTCTAGATCTTTCCTTCCTCCTTTTTGTTCCCCCTCCCCTCCAAGTCCACTTCTTTTGGTGAAAACTCTTAAATCTTTTCTTTTATACCAGGGGTCTCAGGCAGTATTTGTCTTTACAAGACTTTGCTGAGTTTGGGGCAGATTAGTCCTGTACCCCCAGAGCCAGGCTCTTCAGCCACGTCTCTTGGCTAGTTGAGAAGGAACCAGAATTATGGCTGTGCCTGCGTGTTTTGTTCTGTCTGCTTTGGGGCGTGTACCCACCAGAGAATACAGGGCCAGCAGACCTTGCTGCCAGCCCCTTGGTCCCAGCCTGGCTTCCGGGCTGAGGTGTCTCCTTGTTGTGGGGGTGGGCCCCACAGTGTGGTTGGTTGGTGCTAGTTGCTCAAAGCAGAGGCCAGCAAACCTGGACCTCTAGCTGCTCTGCCCTGGCCTTCAGGCAGCCAGGAGAAAGGCGTCCCCAGCCAGACCTCCTACTCCTGCCTTGCGCAGTGATCACCCTTCAACCGCAACCCAGGCATCTGTGGGGGAGCCTCACACCCCTGCTGCTTCCACTGAGAACGGCCTGGGCCATGGGGATGTAGGTTTGGGGCTGGGACAGAGATGAGTGGCACCCAGGGGCCCTGGCTGAGAAGCCAAGGTGAGAAGCATGTTGGGCGGAGAGATGAGACAAGGCTGTGGCATGTGGCTTTAATGGCAGGGGGGGAGTGGGGAGGGGACTAGCTGCTGGCTTTCAGGAGTGTGCTGGAATGTCTAGTGGTGCCGCAGCATGTTCTCAAGAGATTGGATCTCCTCCTTTCTAAGGGGGGATGGGTAAGCCCATAGCTTCCTGGTGGTGTCACTATCTTTGACTTCTGTCCTGGGCCCTGGGAACAATGGATGGGGTCCCACAGGAAGGTCCTTGCCTACAGCCTGAATTTTGGAATGTATTGGGAGCTCAAGGCTGAGCCCAGTGGGTTGGGGAATGTGAGGTTGATGCCTGATCCCCAAGTCCTACTGAACTGAGGGAGGCACAGGCGCCGGGGTTGGGGAGCAGGTCTTCAGAGCTTGTGAGGGTTCACCCACTTATAGGTGCCTTCATACTGGAAGCCAACTCTCTTCATCAGCTCGTCTGCCTCTGTGGGCCCTCGGCTGGGAGAACGACACACAGTGAGACATGGGAGGGGGGGGTCCCAGCCCCCAACCCCCACATCTCTGTCCCCACTCTCACCTGCCATAAATGTAGGAGATGGGCTTGGGCTTCTCGCGCTCAATCTTGTGCAGCAGCGGGGTGAAGATGCGCCAGGCCTCCCGGAGCTCGTCACTATGGAGACAAGAGCAGTTTTGGGGAGCAGGCCACGGGTGCCAGGCTGCTTCTCATGCCAGGCCTGGCGGGCTGGTGGCCTTGTCGGGGGCAGTGGCTCTGCTCACCTGCGCACGAAGTGCATCTGGCTCCCGCAGAAGACGTCCAGGATGAGGCGCTCATAGGCGTCAGGAAGCTTCACGTTCTTTGGGAGCAAGATGGACAAAGGGTTCATGGTGACAGCACTGCTCCCCCACCCCGCCCCACCCCACGCCATCCCCAGAGACAAGCACCTTGTATCTATTGCCATAGGTCAGGTCGAGCTCTGACTCCTCGGGGTTGAAGAACATGCCGGGCTTCTTGGTCATCAGCTTGGTGTACACGGCCTCGTTGGGCTGCACGCGGATCACCAGCTCGTTGCGCTTGCACTGCTGGTGGAAGATATCACCGGCCACGTCTCGGAACTGCAGCCGCACCTCGGCCTTGCGCTCGTTCAGGGCCTTGCCACAGCGCAGGATGAAGGGCACACCTAGGGGCCAGGAGCAGGGAGACTCAAACCCTGCCAGCCTGCTCCCCGCTGCTTGTGGGGAGGGGTGGATTCAAGTTGTGGGGGGGTGAGCGTGTGGTCTGTAGGCATGAGTATTCAAGAAAACAGGTGAGTCTAAGCATGTGGGTACACATATGGCAAGTGGTTGGGGGACTCTGGTTCATACAGGCCTCTTTGTCTCCCAAGTACCGAGTAACAACTAGCTGCCCTTGCTGGGCCCTGGCAGTGGCACCTACCGTCCCACCTTTCGTTCTCAACATATAAGACGACAGCAGCGAAGGTGGCTGTGGTGGAGCCGCGGGGCACCGTGGGATCGTCCAGATATCCTTTTGTGGCTTCCCCTTTTCCGCTGGGGTTCCCCACATACTGCCCCAGGACCACATCCTCAGCCTTCACTTCAGAGATACACTTCAAGACTTTGACCTGGGATGGTGCCATGGAAAGGGAGCTGGTTAATGAGGTGGCGGACGCTGGGGTGACTGATCACAGCAGGGGGGGCTTGGCTGTGGTCACTGCCAACTGACAGCTGTGGGCCACCTCATTCTCCTGATGGGACAGAAAAGTACATAGATTATCCCAGCGTGCCTGTCATCCCCACCTTTTCATCCCGGACGTCGTCTGAGTCGGTGGAGGCGGGCTTCTCCATGGCCACCAGGCACAGCATCTGAAGCAGGTGGTTTTGCATCACATCCCTGTGTAGAGAGGGCAGAGCTGCTTCTGATGGTCGGGGGTGCGGTGGTGTGTGACACACACACACACACACACACACACACACACACACACACACACACTCACTCTCTCTTTGGAGGAACCTAAGGCCCTGAAACCTGCTCCTTGCCACCCAGTGGAGTTGCCTGGTCCCTGGTGCGGCCTCCCAGGCTCTCACCGGATGATTCCAAACTCATCAAAGTAGCCGCCGCGGCCCTCAGTGCCAAACGGCTCCTTGAAGGTGAGGATCACACAGGCGATGTTGTCCCGGTTCCAGATGGGACTGAAGATCCTGTTGGCAAACCTGGTGGGGGTGGCAGGGACAGGGATAGACACACAAGAGGATGAACGCTGCTGAGGGTTCTTGGGGGGGAAATGGGATGGATGAGGACACCCTGCCCTGCACGGCCAGCCTGGAGCCCGCACCTCAGCACCATGAGGTTCTGGACCATCTCCTTGCCCAGGTAGTGGTCGATGCGGTAGATCTGGTCCTCCCGGAACAGCGAGGCAATGTGGTTGGACAAGCGGTCAGAACTCTGCAGGTCCTTGCCGAAGGGCTTCTCCACAATGATGCGGCTCCAGCCCCTGCCAGATGAGTCTCAGTACCTGCTTTGGAGGCCCAGCCACCCACGCTCCCTGCCCGATGCCAAGCCCTGAATTCATGTCCCCTGCGGGGTCCCTGGAGGTCCCAGCAGTTGGGAGGGGAAGGGGAGAATCAAGGTTTTTCTTTTTGAAAAAGTTTTTTTCTCCTACACAGAAATGTCAGTAGTGGAATGATCCACCATTTTGACTTTAAAAAGGTGGGGCACAGCACTACTCTGATGCTCTAGGACATTCACAACGTGTTATCTTCACTGGAGAAGAAACAGAACTCAAAAGGAATGTCCACAGTTAAGAGTTTAGAAGACACTGCATACCAAACCAGACCAGCTGAGCACAATATGGCTGTGACCCAGGGAGGTTTTCATGGAGCAATGCTGCCACCAGGTGGCAGCAGGGGGAACTTACGTGGGGCTCATGCAGGTCTCACGAATGTTCTTGGTGACCGCCTCATAGACGGTGGGGGGCAGGGCCAGGTAGAAGAGGTGGTTGGCCTGGGAGCCCTGGTGAAGGGCGTTCACATGGCTGTTGAGGTGCTGGTAGGAGGCAGGGTCGTCATAGTGGCCGGCCACATAGGAATTGCGGGCAAAGAACTCTTCCAGCTTCTGTTTCTCTTCGGGGGTGGCCTGGGCAAGGCAGACAGAAGGAGAGCCCTGGGTCTCCTCCCTGGCTCTGCCTTAGGGGCGTGTGTGGGGGGCGGGGGCGAAGGAGAGGAGTTCTAGCGCATCCTCAATCCTCACTCCACCCCCCCACCTGAGTGGGCTGCCTGAAAATGCTCTCAGGCTGGGGCAGTTGTCCTAATGTGGCCCCTCACCTGGAGGGTAGAGGAAGGAAAGGCTTGGGTCCGGTCACACTCACTTTGAAGAAGGGTTCGCTCTGTCTGCGGATATCGGCCACGCTGAGGCGCGAGCGGGCAAAGCCCACGATGAAGGTGGCTTCAGGTAGAAGGCCATCTCGGAACAGCCACCTGAGGGCAGGGGAGACATGCCTGAGTGACCACTAGCAGGTAGGCGGGTGGGCCTGGCCCAAGGGCTGTGGGGGCGGGGTACTTGCTTACCAGATGGTGGGGTAGATCTTCTTCTTTGCCAAGTCGCCCTGTGAAGAAGGAAGAGCTGGGTCAGAGGGGGAGAACTGGGGAAGGCCTTGAACCACGGCCCCTCCAGATCTGGGTGATCTTGCAGGCACTGCCAAGTCGCCACTTGTGTCTCTGGTTTGTTCCTGTGGGCAGCCAGGCCTTTCTGCAAACGGACCTCAGGCTGCCTTCCATTTGGGATTCCCTGGAGCCCAGCCCACTCTGGCACTGCAAACCACAAGTCCGGGGTCTCCTTCGAAGCAACAGCAGGAAGAGGAAATTCAGCTCCTCTGAGACCCCAGTGACAATGCACACAGAGCCTGTGCTGGAGCCCCATGGGGTGTGGGAAGCCCTGATCCAAGGGGCACTGGGCTACGAGGAACAACGTGGGCAGAGACGCGTACCAGGAGGAGGGAGGTGTCCACGGGGCCCCCAGGAGCAGCTGCAGACAAGGAGGCGACTACCCTTGGGCTGCCTGGCTAACCCCTTCAACCCAGCCAACTGGCCCCCAGAACTGGGAGAGAATCAGTGCACATATTCAATGTGCGAAGGCAAAGAAAGGGCAGCAGGATTTTAAAATCGAGTAAATGATAAGGAGATAAAGTATAAGACAAAAGCAAATAAAATGGAAGGCAAACAAAACAGGTCCAATAGGGCCCAGGGTTGCTGTTTGATAAAGGCCCATATAAGACAAACCTCTAGAAATGTTGCTTTGCAGAAAGGGGACACAGGCTAGGGCTTGAATCAACTGACGCTGCCCTGGGTGCCTCTCAGGAAATGGGGCTGCAGTTCCTAGAAAAATCCAGGCCCCTCCAACAGACTCAAGGGGGAGTAGTCAGGAGGGAAGGGTAACCAAACGCCACCACCTGGATGGCTTAAAGCAGGGGTTAGCAAACTTTCCAGACAGAAGAGCCAATCCTGTCCCTTGCAACAATTTATAAATTATTCGAAGCATAAATAGTGCCACGTGTACAGACTGAAAGAGCTGCATGTGGCTGCTGAGCTGCCGTTTGAAAGACAACAGGGATCAACGAGCTCCCAGGCTGAGGCCCGGAGTCTGACATCAGGGTGTCTGCCTTGGAGGCCCTGAAGGAGACTGAGGCAGACCAGCCCCAGCATTTCTTGGTTTACAGGTCTGCCTCCATTGCCCCATGACTCTCTCCTGTCTATTCTAAAGACATCACTCTGACGACCCACTTGACTGCAGTGCATATGCCCTCATGTTCCCCTAAGTGCAAAGACGCCTTCCAAACAGGATCAAGTTCATAGCCGTGAGGGCTGGGCCTTTCATATATTTTTCAGGGGGGACAATTCAACCCACAACCCTGACCACCGCAGACATCTAGTTGGCAACCACAAACCTCCCCGATGAGACAAGGCCTGGGCAGAGCGCTAGGACTCACAGGGAATCGCTCCACAGTGACAAGGGGTGTCTATTTACAAACCCCGTCCACGCTAAGGGGGAATGCTTTTGCATCAATAACATCTGCTACTGGCTCATCTAGGCAATGCTGGACTTGGGTTCAGAATGAAGAGTATCATTTGGAACCAATGGTCCCTGTATGGAGAACCTCAAAAACCCAGGAGGCTGAGCAAGAGAGCAAGCCAGAGTGACATGCTGGCTGCTGGCAGTGGGGGTTGGTCGGCCCATTTGCCTAGTGGGGCCCTGAGCAGGGCCAGCAGCAGCCATTGTTCTGCTCACAAAGTGTACCCTATGCTGTCCCTGTTCCATTTGGTCACTCCTTTTTTGGGAACTTTTAACCTGTTACTTCCCTAATAAAGCCCATAATCCTATCGCCTGTGAGTTTGGGAGTTCTGTGTGGCCACAAAAGAGAACTTGCCCTGGGAGGGCCAGCTGGCTGGGGCAGGGCTGCTGGGCAGGTTGGAGCCTGTTGGGGCCAACACCTCCCTGGAGCCAGCCTCGGGCGGTGCTGCTTCTCCTCCCTACAGGTGAAGTAAATCAATGAGGTCCCACCCCACAACAGTTTTTGCAAGTCATCTGGGCAAAGGTAAGGCCTGCCTTGGGCAGTGGTGGCATGGTGCCTGCTGGTTTCTAAAGCAGCCTTCCTTCAAGCTAGGAATCCGTGGGGATCTGAACATCTTCAGAAGACAAATCAAGCCCTAGGTTTGCTAAGAAAGGTCGGGAGAGATGGCTCCTGGTTCCCTAGGGGAGGGGCACACAACACTTTCTGGGAATGTCCTGGGCCCTGCAAGTCTAACCAACTGACCAAATCGGGCCATTACCTTAGAGATCAGCCATGAAGAGACTTGGAAAGCGAAGGAAAAGACTAGCGCATTTCAAAGCCCCTACATGACTTTTCATGGGGAGAAAGGCCCATGGCAAGGGCGTGCAGAGAAGTACGGGAGGGGCTGAGGCTGGCCTAGTGAGTGGCGCCAACCCTGGTGACAGGACAGGGCCCCGATGCCACAGCGAGATAGGGATGATAGCCACAATGTTGGGGGAAAGCAGCCAGACCCACAGGCCTCCATGGCACCTGAGCACGCCGCCCTGGGGGCAAGGACCTGGCCAGAAATTCTGGCTTGGGAGCTGAGCAGGCTCAGTCTGAGATCCATTTTCTTGTGAAAGTTACGCTTCAATCCAACAGTCTACAAATGAACAGGCTACGGTCTACTCTCTCAGCAAGCTCTGGGAAGAGCTGAGTGCCCCGCAGGCGGTGAGGCTTCGGGCCATGGCGGTGGAAGAACAAAGGCATGATGACCCTTTCATGTGCCAGCCTGGTCATTAGGGAGCTTGGGAGTGACGTGGGAGGGCTAGATGCTGAACCTGCCTAGGAACTGCAAAAGGAATTTGAGAAGGCTTCCGGGCAAGGACACCTGATGGAAGAAGGCAAAAGCCTGCCTTGACCAGGCTCACGGACACCGTTTTCCTATTGGATGTGGGCCGCCAGGTGGCTGGAGTCTGTCCTGTGCTTATTAGGTCTGCTCTCACCCACCCGACACACCAGGAGCCCCAGCAGAAGGTGAAATCCCCCATGTGCCCTTTAGCAAGACACCTGAAAAGGAACTCCCTGCCGTGATCTTGCACCCAGTGGCTACAGCTTATGCTGACCACCGCTCTGAAAGTGACAGTGACGCACGGGGTCCATGAACACGGCTAAGCCCTCCTAACACCAAGTCATGTTTCCTTATACTCCAATCCCAGAAGCGGGAGGCCAGCTGGGTCATTGAGCAGTGGCCTGGGCTGGCCTCTTCAGATCCACTGGGACCCAGTTGACAGACACCCTTTAGGATTAATTAGTGATAGAACCGGCTTGCCTAGTTTCAGCTTAGCCCCTCTAACTGCCGCTGGTCTCAAAGCCTCTGAGAGAGGACGGTAGGCAGGGCGGGCAGTCAGCACCTCAGGAGGAAATGTCTTGGCTTGATGGGCTGCCTCTCAGTGTGCTGAGTCAGGATGATTCCGGGAGGTCTGCTCTCACCTGGCCAGCTGACCGGCCTGGACCCAGATTAAGACCCCCAGTAGCAACACCCTCAGCCAGTTCTGTCCCTGGCTGGAGCTCTTCATTGCGACAAACCTGGGATACTGCCCTCAAACCCTGTAGGCATCTCTCTTGGTTTGAAGGAGGGGAGGCCCAAGGAGGGGGGTGGCGGCAGCGGTGGCCCTTTCCCTCTGGGGTCACAGGGTCAAGAAGTAGCTTGTAGGCTGGGCCGTGACCTGAGCCTGGCTGGGGCCCAGCTGGCGCCTGGCCACCTGGGAGCGAAGCTGGGGTTCGCCGAGGCGAGCCTCTGACACAGGGCCGCCCTCCACACCCAGTGGTGAATCACAGGCTTTTGGGGGAGCGCCAACGTCACTGTGACACAGCAAGAATCTTATCGCCCAACGGGAAGCAGTCCAGAGGTGCTGAGGAGTGGGTGTGGTCCAGTGAAGCTCGGCCTGCCCAGCTCAAAGCCCTCCAGGTCCAGGCTGGGGAAACTGAGGCCAGGGCCAGCCAGGGCCTTGCTGGGGAGAAGGCATCTTGCTGAACATTCAAGGGTGCCGCTTGGCTAGGCGCTCCAGCGCCCCCTGGCTTGCTTGACAGCCCTACTTTCTGCCACTGGGAAAGTGCCCCGCGGGCCCCACCCCCACCCCCCGCCCTGTGGGGGGGATGGGGTGCGGAGGGAGTGCTGAATAGGGGAAATGGCCACACTGAATTGGTTTGGTAACCCTATGCGGCCCTCAGGCTGCCCCCAGGAAGGAAGCTGGAGTGTGGGTGAGGGTTAGGCAAGCATGGACAGGAGGTACAGGCTGCCCACATTCGGCCAACCTGCTCAGCCACCGGTCTCCTGTCAGCTTGCTCCACTCAGGGCTCAGAAGGGCCCCCAGGGCATCAGGTGGCTGGCATCCAAGGCAACGTGAACCCCCTCCCCCAGGCAATGTGAGCACGGCTCTCCAGGCCACTGGCCCTCACTCATGCTATCATTTCTCTGGTCACAGGGACTGCGTGTACTCACTTGGTACCCCTGCCTCCTGCTGAAGGCAATGGCCAGGGGCAGGGGCTGGGGCTGCTGGGGTCTGCAGCAGGACGACAGTGGCTCCAGGGCATCCCCCCACCCCCAGCTTTGGAACCTCTGAGCAGAGGGGAACCTTGTCACTTATGACGGAACAGAGTTGCTGTACCCCAAGCTACAAAGCCCTGAAGCACTGAGCTGCTGACTAAAAGGCTGGCAGTTCAAGCCTGCCCTCTCTCGAGGCTCTGAGAGACAAAGTGGCTGCAGCAAGGTCACAGCAGCCTCTGGTTCGGGGTTATCAAGGTGAAAATGATCTGCATGGCCCCCACCCACCACCCTGCCCCAGGATGACCCCAGCCAGAGGCAGCAAGGTGGCACAGTGTGAGCTAGTTCCACAGGCTGCAGCCTCTTGGGTTTCTGGGCAATGAGACACTAGACAAGTTTCCACCCACGTGTAGGTCCGGGTGAAGGACGAGAAGTCCCAGCTCCCTTCGCCTTGAGCCTGTTCCTGGGAGGAAGGGTGCTTGGTTGATGCCAACGGGGCTCAAAGGGGACAGTGTGCTTTGCTTTGTCTGGCGGGCTGGACACTGCTCCTCATAATCTCCCCGGTGTCTGAGGGACAGGGCAGACTATCAGGGTGGTGACCAGTTACCAAAGAGCCACCACCACCTCCAGCCTGCAGAGGGCTGGCGCCTGCAGTGTGGGAGTTGCTGGGCAGAACTCTTGCCCAAGACACTCAGGCTAAGAATTCACAGCCACGTGAAGGGTAGCAGGCCTCGTCCCTGGGAACAAGAATCCCAAGCCTTTCCTAGTAAATCAAAATGGCAGTTCTACAAGATAAATGCTTGGGGCAGGCCGAGGAAGGAGCCTTCAGCAAGCAAAGAGATGGTGTTAAATGACACAGTGTTTGTCCCCGGGGACCATGAGGTGGTAGCAATTGGGCCTCAGGTCTTGCCTCTGGGACTCATTTCCTAGGAGCTATCTGCTAAGTAACAAACAAGTCTGAAAAGGATACTCTGAGAAGAAGCAGGCGCTAGGTCTGCAGCTCAGCTTTCGCGTGTGCCAGGTTGGAGGAGGAAGACCTTGAGTGTGGCCACAGCTAGAGGGACACCTGGCACTGCTTGGGCAGCCACTGGACCTAGTCGGTCCGGCCGCACAGTGAGTGTGGCTTCTGCGATGTGGGGCTGAGGGGACTCACCGAGGCGCCCATGATGATGAAAATGTGCGTTTCAGACTGGTGGAAGTCATCGCCCTGGTACAGCTCTTCCCGGAGGATGCCGCACACCTGTGTCCGGCTCAGGGCCACCTGCTCAGCCATGGTGTTCTCTGGGGAAAGAAAGGCGGCCTGTGTCAAGTCCTGGCACCGGGTAGCACCAGGGAGGGGGTGTGTGTATGTGTGTGGGCTCCCAGCACAGTCTTAACCGCAGGCACCCGCCACTCCTCCAGACTGCCTTCTCCCAGGGAACTTTCTGGACCTCACAGCCCCAGCCCCAGCCCCAGCCCACGGCACTCTCACAGCCTGCCTGTGGCGGGAACTCCTCCGCCACTCCTCAAGGAGCAGAAGATGGGAGTTCTTGCCAGCTCCGCAGTCGCTAACCTGGGCGGCCTCTCACGGTCTGCCAAGCCCGCAGCGGCCGATGGAGAGGATGCGGGGGCGGTCCTATGGTCGGCTAAGCCCTCCTGACTCGGCCCCTCCACCAAGTACGCCAAACTCGGCTCAACCAAAGGGTAGTAGCAGGCCCCCCGCCTGACTTCTCGGTGGGCCCGCACGTCGCCTCAGTTACCTCAGTGTCCTCAGACGCCTGCAACGCTAGAACTTCCTCAGCCCCGAACGCGTGGCCGTTTCCGGGGGCTGCGCCCCGCCAGCCCATTTAACCGGCGCGGGAGGGGGCGGGGGCCTCGGCTGAGCCTCAGGGCCTCAGGCGAGACGCGCAGGGCGGAGCCTTGGCCGGCCTCTCCAGGGCGGGACGGGAGTGGCGGGAGGTTGGGGGCGGGGGGAAGGGAAAAAAAAAACCGCGAGAAAGCTGCGCGCGCATCCCAGGCCCAGCCCGAGCACCCGTGGCCGCCCCTCCCCTCAGGCACCTGCGCTGGTCACCGGGCTGGGAGCCGCCTTACGTCCCCGTCGCTGTTGCTCCGCATCACTGGGTATCTCTGTCGAGGTGATGCTTAACCTGGCCGGGTGCAATTCCATGGCGTTCCCTCGAGTCCCCATCTCTTACTCCGCCCCGCCCCGGCTTTCCCGCCGCCCCCAGGCGACCATGAGCCCTTGCGGAGCATTTGACTTCCGCCAGTCGACTGCTTCGGGGGCGAGCCCTTGGCAAAATCTCGTGTCCTATTGGTCGGCTTCGTCTTGGCTCCTTTCTCCCCTCCCCCCCAAGTGCGGGGCGGCTGGGCGCCTGAACCGCCGGGAAGTGGAGGGTGCGACGCCCAGAAAAGCAGCAGGTGTTCCTGATCATTTGGCTTGGAGCCCGCCCGACCGCCCAAGGATGACAGGCTCCGGCTTTCCTGGTTGCAGGTTGCGGCCGTGAGGTGCCCGCGCAGCTCTCGCCACATCTACGGTCGCCTGGAAGGGGCTGGCTTGATTCGCTTCCGGATCCCATGGCTATGACACAGGAAGCCGGAAGTGCAGATTTCTGTTGCGGGAGAAAGGCAAGGGCGACCGCTGCACCGGGACTTTCGGGAGCGCGGGGTGTCTAGCTGCAGCCCGCTGCTCTCGCCCTTCTCACGTTGAGCCGACTCTGCTGACAGGTGTGGTCCTCCTTCTGGATGGCAGGGTGGCATCGGGGGCGCTCCGCTGCCTCTTCGAGACGCCCCGGGACGTCCGGGCTGTCTTCTCCCGGTTGGTTCCCACCGCGCCCGGCCCTGGGGGCAGATTCAGGAGCCGGGCTATTTCAGCCCCTAGCGGGACTATTTGGGCGCCTCCCTCCATGTCTAAAGCGAAGGGTACTAACTGGTTAAGAAGACACTTTATATCTATACAATTTGAATGCATTTGGGGGCATTAAATTCTTTAGAAGGACCTCAAAAAAAGCAGCTAAGTGTTTTCTCTCCTTTGCAAACACCCTACTTCCCTGACCTCATCCCCTGTCTGTGAGCTGAAACTGAGTGAGTGGTGCAGAGGAGGTCAGTGTAGCCCGGGCAGAGCCAGCCAGGGAGAGGGAGGGGTGGGCCTCCTGATGGAGGGAGGGACTTTGTGCGACTTTGCGCGGAGGGTAGTGGGAAGCCACGGCAGGCTTCTGAGCACAGCACAGATGGGCTCAGAAGTAGATGGATGGTGCTGGTGGGGAAGGGAGCAGACTTGGGGGGCAAGGGTAACTTGTGAGAAGGTCATCGCCAATATCCTTGGGCATGTTTGCTGTAGAAGGATTAGTATAGTAAATCTTCCAAGGATGGTCTACTTCAATCTAAACTCACTGTCATTGAGTAGATGTCCATGCATAGTGACAGTCAGGGTACAACTGTCCCTGTGAGTTTCCTAACTATTAACAGGAGTAGAAAGCCCTGTATTTTCCCCAAGGAGTGGTTGGTGGTTTCGAACTGATCTGGTGAATCGCAGTCCAAAGTGTAAACCACTACACCACCAGAGCTCCTTCAAGCTAATCTTGTTGAATCCATTATTCCCCCCTCCCATTTTTATTATGAACAATGACTATTGAGACATAGCCCCCAACTATACACTTTACCCCTTTAAAGTACGTAATTTCGTGATTTTTGGTGTGCCCAAGTTGTACAGCTCTGTCCACTTCCTAATTTCACAACATTTCATCATGTCCAAATAAAACCTTGTGCCTTTCAGCCACCAGCCCTCATTCCTCCCATCTCACAGTCTCTGGTAACTACAATCTTATTCTCGGTGTGTCTTCAGTTTCTGCATAGTCTCTATGAGTGGACCGATACAGCATGTGGTCTGTGATTTCTCTGCCCAGCAGGCTGCCAAGGTTTAGCTAGGCCATAATGCTTCACACATCAGTACTTTACTTTTTTGGGGGGTCAAATGCTGTTTGTTCCATTGTGTATGGATGTGCTTAACTCCGTGCATTCGGTCAAACCTAACCAAGGCATTATCACACCTCAGAGAAAACAAAACCAAACCAAAACTTTACTGCTATAGAGTCAATTCTGACTCACAGTGATCCTCAGAGAGCTGGGATTTTTTAATGCCATCAAATGGATTCTAGAATATGCTTGCCATGACTTCCCGGAGTCATCGTGGGAGAAAGGGGTAGATCTGTTATCAAGTGATCAGAGGGAAGGCTTTGGACTAGCTTTGGGGACTCTCAGTAAGATGGATTGTTGGCAGGTCCAGGGGTGTCTGGCCTGGAGGCCTGATGTGCGTAGAGTGGGATTCCTGAGAGAAAATGATCTAGCAAAGAAGCCTCTAGTGAGGCAGGAGAAAAACCAGGAGAGTGGATGGTTCTGGAAGCCCAGGGAGCAAGGTCCTGGTGGCCCTCCTCAGTTCTCACTGGCACTTTCCTTAGCACCATTCCTTGCCAGGGCTGCTGTGGCAGGAGCACAGTCCTACCAGAAACAAAAGTATCCACAGGGGAGGGCCTGCCAGGATCTGGGGGCCCAGGTATCCTGGGCTTGTGGCTGCATCCCTCCTGTCCCTGCCACTGTCTTCATGTGGCCACCGCCTCTCACCTATAAGGACTCATGTCATTGTATGGAGGGCCCACTGGCTAATCCAGGGTGGTCTCCTCATCTTGAGGTCACAGGCTGGGGTCTAAGGGTTAGGTGACTGTATCTTTTGTGGGGCCAGCATTCAACTTCCTATGCTAGGTGAGGAACAGGCACCAGCCCCTCCCTCCCTTGAACACTCGGCACATGTTCCCGTCCTGATCTCCAACGGGCATACCCTGGATTCAGTGTGTCACCTGGGTGGAGTTCAGAGCCTGCAACTTCAGGGTGGGGGATAAACTGGGTTCACAGCTGGGGTGGGTGTGGAGCAGTGGCCGCCTCTCTCTTCTAGACTGAGCTGTGTTGGATGAACAGGCCGCTTCGGAAAAATCTGCCTGGTGAGATGGTGCAGCCCAGTGGTGGCCCAGCGGGGGAGCAGGCTGTGCTGCCCGAAGAGTCTTCTCTGGGCAAGCCCACGATGCTCCACCTGCCTGTTGAGCCGGGTGCTCCCGAGACTCTGCAGCGCTGCCTGGAGGAGAACCAGGAGCTTCGAGGTGAGAGGGCCCGGGACCGGCCCGCCTGGCTGGGGATGGTGCCATCTGCTCCCCTGTCCTCTGACACAAGGGTGTCCTCTTTGGACTGCCATGCCTAGAGTAGCGGGGTGGGGTGCAGGGACCGGGTAGCCAGCGCTCTTGTCCCCCAGATCACATGGCTGTGTCCTGTGCTGTTCCTTCTTGCCCTGCAAATGGTGGCCTCCTGTGTCTGGTGGCAGCAGTGGCTCTCTCAGATGGGTGCTGGCTGGCTGGCTGCAAGGAGGTGCTCCTGAGATGCTGGAGCATTCAGTGCAGGGAGGGGCTGGTGGGGGAACCTCTGGGGAGAGGCTGTGACTCTGCCCCTGGTTGGCTGGTGGGGTGGGGGTTCTAGGTCCGTGGTTCTCAACCTTCCTAGTACTGCCACCCTTTCATACAGTTCCTCATGTTGTGGAGACAACCCCCCCCCCCAACCATACTTCATAACTGTCATTTTGCTACTGTTAGGAATCGGGTGACCCCCGTGAAAGGGTCGTTTGACGCCCCCCAAAGGGGTGGGGACCCATAGGTTGAGAACCGCTGCTGTAGAGCAACTGAACCAAGAAGCACGTGCACGCTTGCGCGGTCCTCAACAGGCAGGATGAAGAAGCGAGTGTGTGGAGCCGCTGGCTTGGCGGAGACCCACACAGGTGCCTTTGGGGCCAGCAGTGACTGTTCTGTGGAGCTTTTGACCAAATCGGCAACATGGAGCTGCCACCCCCCACTCCCGCCCCAGCCCTCTCCCACCAGCTCCTGGTAACCTCCATTCAACTTCTGGTCGCCAGGAACTTGCCTAGTCTAGGCACCTTACTTAAGGGCTCACTTCCGGTGCGAGGGGCCTTCAAACAGTTTGTGTAAAAAGGGATGAAAAGATGACGGCATTTTCCCGTGGACTTTGTGAAGCTCTCTCACACTGCTCCGTTGGGGGTTTCGGCCGCCTTTGGCTTACCCATCCTGCCTCAGTCCTCAGGGCCCCGGGGGCTGGGGTCACCGACCATTCTGTGTGTCATGCTTGGAGGGGCCACTGCTTTTCCCTGGACCCTCATCTGGGCATGCAGGGTTTCGTTGAATTTAAGGGCCCGTTGATGGTGTCATTGAGATGGGAAGGGTTGGATGAAAGCCTAGGAATTGCTGGGAAGGCCTCTGGGACAGACCTGGTAGCGGGGCGGGGGCCAGCACTGTGATGGCCGCCCAGCCTCTCCGCTGTGTCCCCGCACGCACGCCAGATGCCATCCGTCAGAGCAACCAGACGCTGCGCGAGCGTTGCGAGGAGCTGCTGCGTTTCCAGGCAAACCAGAGGGAAGAGAAGGCGTTCCTCCTGCAGAAGTTCGGGGCGGCCCGGAAGCTGGTGGAGAAGCTGAGCCGGGAGAAGGTGGAGCTGACCGGACAGCGGGAGCAGGCCCTGCAGGAGCTGGAGCACCTGAAGAGGTGCCAGCAGGTAGCCGAGGCACTGCGGGCTCAGACAAGCTGCCCTTTATCACAGCCCACAGCTACTGACTTGAGGCACTTGGGGAAGGGTCTAGGAGGGGCAGGGACCACTTCTGGGTGGGTGGGGCAGGGCAGGGCAGGGTAGTTCTGGCCTGGTGGAGCCAGGAAGGACTTGGGCAGCACAGTGAGGTCTCAGAGGGGAGGACAGGGAAACCTGTGGAAGCTTGCCGCCGGTGCCCAGGGGACAAGGAAGCTGGGAGTGTGGGGTGCACTCGGGCTGGGCTCCTGGCAGATGACTAGAGCAGGTGCCCAGATCCTGGGGCCACAGATTCTGCCCATGAGCCAGGGGGCAGCAGAAGGTACCTGGGACTGAGGCCTGGACATCGGAGGTGGGGGATAGTTCCCAGGCTGCTGGCTGTGTTTCTGCCCCTCCTTTCTGGCATCTGGTGTTGCCCATTCCTGGAGATAGGGAAGAGGGCTTACAGTGTAGGCAGAAGAGGCAGGCTGCAGTGGGCTGTTGAACTTGGAGGTGGGGGCAGGGCAGAGCAGAGGTTAAGGGCGCTGCTGCGGAGAGCTGAGCTGACAGGAAGTGGCGTGTTTTCCTGCAGCAGATGGCTGAGGACAAGGCCTCAGTGAAAGCCCAGGTGACGTCCCTGCTGGGGGAGCTCCAGGAGAGCCAGAGCCGCCTGGAGGCTGCCACCAAGGACCGGCAGGCTTTCGAGGTCAGGTGAGTGGGAGGGGGCCCTGCCCCAGAGGCCACTTCAGGTGTCCTCAGGAAGGGCCTGGTCTGGAGACTGGAAGAAAGGTGTGGCCACACAGAACTCACAAAGCACATTCTTAGGGAACTATCAGCTTACTAATCAGGTTCAACAATGACTCAGCATACAGTTTTGGGGCAGGACAGCTTCTTGTTGGTGGTCATAGCCAGACCTCTCTCTGGCCCTCAGCCCTTAGGCCCATTGGGCCTCTGCCCTGCCTGACCCTCTAGCACCACTGATTGGTGCTCAGACGTGCCACACTCTGCTGCTAGGCCAATGCTTATGACATCTTTGGTGTTACAGCGCTCTTGACTCCTAGACCTAGGACAGTGGGTCTCAACCTTCCTCATGTCGCGACCCTCTCATACCTTATGTGGTGGTGACCCCCAACTATCATGTTATTTTCGTTGCGACTTCATCACTGTCATTTTGCTACTGTTCTGAATCGGGCAACCCCTGTGAAAGGGTCGTTTGACCCACAGGCTGAGAATGGCTGATCTAGGAAGTATTCTGCACAGGGGTCAAGTGCAAAGGACACACTCCCCTCTTGGCTCAGTTTTCTGACTGGTCATAAGGTTCTCTTTTGTGCCGCTAGGGTTCCGTACACCTTATTTATGTGGTTTTACCCCCAAAGGAGCTCAGCAGCCCCTCTACGGGAGAAAGATGATGGACAGTTCTAGGGATCACTTAGAGGCAGATTCAACTTGATGGCAGCCGAGTCTGGAGGAGAGCAAACAGCTCATGTGCACTCTGCACCCCCCTCCCCAAGTCAATGGTAGTAGTTACAACAGCCAGGGTCCCAGCTGACGCCCAGCTCTCCAATTACTTCCTGGATTGAAGACTTGAGGACATTCCGAGGGTCTCCAGGGCCATAGCCACAGCCACAGTGGTTAGCTGGAAGGTCTTAGGTTGGTGACTGTGGGAGCTGCCATCCAGGCTTCCCTCCTGAGAGGCCGGCTACCACCACTGGTTACCTCCCATGTGGCCCTCTCCAGCAGCAGGTGACGCAGGCATCTGCCCAGTGGGCTGTTCGTGGACGCCCCCTGCCGGGCTCCCATGACCCCCAGCTCCATCCACAGGGCTCGGGCAGCCAGTGAACAGGCCCGGCAGCTGGAGAGCGAGCGAGAAGCGCTGCAGCAGCAGCACAGCGTGCAGGTGGACCAGCTGCGCATGCAGAGCCAGAGCATGGAGGCTGCGCTGCGCGTGGAACGCCAGGCTGCCTCGGAGGAGAAGTGAGTGGCGGTCGGCCGGGTGGGGGCCGAGAAGCTGAGCACATCCCGGAGTGTGAGGTTAGAGGTCACAGGTGTGAAGCCACAGGACTGCTCGCCACTAATCTAAACCTCAAGAGAGAAACATTTTCCATGGACTTTGTAACCATTTTCCATTCATGCTTTGGTTTTTGAAGAGGTTTATTTCCATGGTTTACCAATGCAAAGACTCCAAAGGGTACTTGCTGAAGAAGATCTCCCCCCCTTGTCCCCACTCAGGCTACCAGTCTCCCCAGTCCTTCCAGAACTCGCCCTTACAAGGCAGCAGTAAGGAGACTGCGCACGAACTCCTCATTAGACAGACAAGCACGTTCTCATAGCTGTTTTTTGTTTTTCTCAGCAGGAGCCTATCATAGTGCTGTAGTGGGGCACACCTCTTCAGTCTCCATTAGTCCAAAACAGACTCCGGCTTTTCCTTAGGGCAGTGCGGCAGGAGTCCTGGTGGCGTCTTGGCTGTGTCTGGGACTGCCGACTGCAAGGTCATCAGTTTGAAACCACCAGCTGCTCCGGGGGAGAAAGATGAGGTTTTGTACCCTCGGAAACCCACAGGGGCAGTTCTATCCTGTCCTGGAGGGTCGCAGGAAATCGTCGTGGACTTGGTGGCAGTGGTTTTGAGGGCAGTTGTGTTTCATGGTGTCTTTATAAGGGAAAATCCATTACAGTTAGCCACTAGCGATTCACTTGTAATAATACCTGCCATTCAGGAGACCCTGCCTCAAATCGAGGGCCTGAAGCGCCCAAGTCCGAGTGCACCTCCATGACAGGAAGGCAAAGCTGAGGTGGGCCCAGACCGAGGGTGTGTCTCAATCTGTTCCCTTAGGCGGAAGCTGGCCCAGTTACAGATGGCGTATCACCAGCTCTTCCAAGACTATGACAACCACATCAAGAGCAGCATGGCTAACAGTGAGCGAAACCGAGTGAGTTTGGGCTGGGAGGCCGGTGCTGGGCTGGCCACTGTCCCTGAGCCCCCACAGTGATGTCCCGGGGACTGACCCCCCAATTCTAGCCTCCAGGTCCAAGAGAATGGGCTTTGAGGAGGGAGACTAATCTTGGTGGAGACCCCAGCCAGCGCTAAGTGAGCCCCTTCCCAGTGCCTCCCTCTCACCTGCTGCCCTGGTCCCGTGGTGCTGGTGCACAGGACCTTCCCTAGCGGGTGCTCCAGGCTTCTGGTCTTTGACGGGTGGGCGATGTCCTGCATGAAGGTTTTCCTGAGAGACTTAGAAGGGTGTAGCCCATTAGGCTCCTGGGGTAGGGGCCACTGGGCACAATGAGCACCTAGCAGGCAGGTTTGTGTCGTGAGTGCCCATGGGTGGCCTCCGGTGGGAGTGGGGAAAGAGAAGGTCTACCCCAAGGGTTGCTCTCGGTATTCTCACCTCTGCCCTCTGGATCTCAGCATTCTCCCCACACCTATTGCTCTCTGTGATCTGCCCTCCCTGGCCCTGCCCCGGACTATTGGACTCTTAGCCAGGGCAGCTGCCTGACCTCAGTGCCCGCTTGCCTGTCTCCAGGGCCTCCAGCTGGAAGACCTGAAGCAGCGGCTGCAGCAGGCCGAGGAGGCCCTGGTAGCCAAGCAGGAGCTGATCGACAAGCTGAAGGAGGAGGCAGAGCAGCATAAGACGGTGATGGAGACCGTCCCAGTGCTGCGGGCCCAGGTGAGTGACCCCCTCGGGTTGGCTGCCCTGGCCCCGCTCTCCTTTCAAGGAGTGTCGCTGCGAATGTTGATTCTCTGGATGGTTGTAGTGTTAAGCCCTGGAGCAGCCTTTGCCCCATCTACATTGAGCACCTTTCTTTGACATCACCCCTAGCAGGGGTCTTTTTGTTAGCTCTCCTGGCCCTTCACACTAGTCCTTGAATTCTCAGCGCACTTGGAGATCACTCTCAACAGAGTGAGGGTCCTTGTGCCACCGTGGATGCTGGGAAGGCAGGCTTGGGTCTACTCTGACCCTGGGGACTGGCCTGGGTGACTTGCTGGGAGTCCTGGCAGCTCTCTCTCACGGGTTCCCTAGGCGGACATCTACAAGGCGGACTTCCAGGCCGAGAGGCAGGCCCGGGAGAAGCTGGCTGAGAAGAAGGAGCTGCTGCAGGAGCAGCTGGAGCAGCTGCAGAGGGAGTACAGCCGGCTGAAGGCCAGCTCGCAGGACTCGGCCAGGTGGGCCTCGCTGCCAGGTGGACGTGGGATGGACAGCTCGGGTGACCTGCTCACGGGGGCTTCCTGTCTCCACAGGGCTCTGATTGAGGATATGCGTAAGCGGCATGTCGAGGGCTCGCAGCCTCCCCTGCCCTCTGCCTCAGGTGAGTGAGGTGGGAGGAGGAGCTTGGGCTGGAGGACCCTAACTCTGCGCCTCCGCCTGCTGCTTGACAGTTCCGTCAGCACCCTTGGCCTCATGAGTTCAACATGCGTGGTGACCTGGTCCTCCCCGTCTGTGTTTTCTCTCCTAGCCCACCACTCCTTTCACCTGGCTTTGCCTGGCCAGCGGAGGAGCCCCCCAGACGAGCCTCCAGATTTCTGCTGTCCCAAGTGCCAGTATCAGGCTCCAGACATTGACACCCTGCAGATACATGTCATGGAGTGCATTGAGTAGGGCCACCTGTGGCCGATGAAGCCAGGACAATGTCGTCTCTGCTTTCCCCTCACCTGCCCGGCCCACCGAGAGGGCAGCTACTCGAGCACCGACTACCAGCCTTGGCGTCCCCGCTTCGGGGCTGGCTGTTCTCTGCTCCTGCTGGCCATGGAGGTCTTCTTCCTCCATGCCCACGGGGATGCCAGGCCAAGGCCCACCAGGGAGAGTGCCATCTTGACCTCCACCTGTGTCGCCGCGCTCCCCATTCTCACGGCTGGTGCACTAACTACCCTAGTGCACTTTGCATCCGTTAGGGAGGGCATTTGGGACATTTCAAGAGAAAATCCTGTGCGCCTTTGGGATGGCTTCCTGCTTACACCTCTGACTTGTCACCATCCACTAGACTTGCTATTCTCTGGTGGTTAGCGGGGTTGACCATCTCCTCAGGAGTTGGAGGGCCATTTGTGAAGTGCCTGTGGCCCATTTTTCTCTCCGGCGGTGGCCGTCTTTGTTTCTTGGACTTTAGGAGGCGTGTATCAGTAGGTTTTGCTTCGATGTATGATGTACATTGCAAATATCTTTTCCCAGCTTGATTTGGCCACAAGTGTCTTTTTGTCTTATTCACACGCCCATGTAGCAGTCCCTGCGTTTCACGGCGTTGGCTTTTGAGTCACTGCCACCTGGTCTGCTGAATAGAAGCTTCACACCGACTTCTCACTGTCTTTTCGGACATCGAAGTACGAGTAGGGGCCTTGTGGAAATTTGTGATGCCAAGGGCCTGGCCTGGCAAGTGGAAGGACTCTTGGCTGAGTTTTGAGCCTTTCCTAGGAGGTTACAGACCTGGGCGTTAATGGTATAATAGTATAATGTTGGCAGTTCAAGTCACAGTGGGGCAAGCCGGCCTTGGCTGATCATCTGACTCCTCCCTTCCCTGAAGTTTCTGCCCGCTGCCCCTCCTGCCGCTGCATCGTGGGCACTCTGCACGGTGGGCTGAGTGTAGATGACTTTCGATCAGCACCAGCCCAGAAGCTGGGATCTGACTTTCCTTTGGTTGGGTTTCCAGAGTAATTGGCTGGATCCCTCCTATGAGGCGAGCCAGCAAGCCTGCTGTACTAGCTGCCTGAGCACCCTCCCACCCTACCTAGAACTGCCGTGGCTCCCGGGTCGAGTGCACACACCCTGCTTGTCTGTGGCATCTCTCCACTGCTCCAAGTAACCAGTGAGCACCAGAAAGCATGTTCCCCTCCCCAGGAGTGAGAACAGTGCAGGTCCACGCAGTAAGCAAGAAATGACATTTGAATAGCCATAGTCAAGACCCGGTGCAGGGCGCGGGGGAGGCTGCTTTGGCTTTCTGAAATGAGGCCAGGGGCCTGGCCGGCAGGAGGCCTGAGACGCAGTACTCACAGCCCCACTCTTCATTGTAACACCCACCATACCCACTGCCACCAAACCAAGTCTTACTCAGAGCCACCCTGTACAGGCTTTCCAAGGCTGGAACTTCACAGAAACAAACAGCCTCATCTTTCTGCCAAGGAGCAGCTGGTGGCTTTGAACCACCAACCTTGCACTTAGCTCTCTGCTAAGCCAGCAGGGCTGCAGCTTCATCATCATTCCAAACCAAACTCACTGCTCTCCAGTTGATTCTTACTCATATTGGCGTATTGGGTTCCTTGCTGGGCTGCTAACTATGAGGTTGGCTGTTCAAATCCACCAGCCATTCCAGGAAAGAAGGCAGGCTTGGTGTTGCCATACATATTTAGACTTGTCCTGAAGGGTGGCTGTGACTCTTGATTGTAGTTCAAGCTGACCCATAAGCACACTGACAACTCTGGGCTTGTTCTTGGCCAAGGACACGGTGGAAAGGAAGGCTTCCCAATGGTCCTTCCGCTAGAGTTGGTCAACACACCGAGGGCATAAAGGGAAACTTTTGGGAAAGGGCTCATGGTCTCCACCCTTCTGAGTCTCCCCTGGCCTCACTGGAGGGCAGCTACCTTTGGGTGGTGCACAGAAGGTGTCTGTGAGCTGGCCTGGCACATAAAAAGCCAACACTGCCATCGAGTCAGTGCAGCCTATACTCAGCAACCGTATAGGACAGGGTCGATCTGCCCCCGTGGGTTACCGAGATCGTCAATCCTTAGGGGAGTAGAAAGCCCTGTCTTTCTCCCGAGGAGCGGCTGGTGGTTATCAGCTGCTAACCTTGCAGTTAGCAGTCCACCTCGTAACCACTATGCCCCCATGCCACCATGCCTTCAAAGCTCCAAGCCACAAGACCCAAACTCCCTGCCCTCCAGTGGAGGCCGATTCATAGCAGTCCTGTAGCACAGAGTAGAACTGCCCCTGTGGGGTTGGAGCAGAGAGCTTGATGGTTTCAAACTGCTGACCTTGAAGTTGGAAGCTCAATGCCAGCCCACGATGTCACCAGGCTCAGGAAACGGATTAAAAAAAAAAAATCCGAACAGGCTGCTTGACTTCAGCTCAACCTAGCAATGTGAGGTAAAGGGAGTTTGGGGATGAACACTGGAAAGATATGGCCACAAGATGGCAGTGACAAGCTGTCTCTGACTGGTTTGCTTGGGGTGGGATGGGATGGAGTGGGATGGGGTAAGGTAGGGTGGAGATTGGAGGGCAGGCCCACCAAAGGCAAATGGTAGAGAAGGTGCGGGGGGCACCCTCCCGCCCAAGAGAGTGGAGGTGGAAAAATGGTGTACATATCTAGATGGTGGTAGTGAGTCACCTCTGGGGCAGAGGCCTTAGAAGGACAGCGGTGGTGGGGGCGGGCATCAGCCTGCCTATGGGCGTCGTCTAAGGCTAGCAGAGCAAAGCAACCCTGCCCAGAGCTGGACCATGAACTTCTGGCCTAGATCTAGAGCAGTGAGAGAGATTTGAGTCATTTTAAGCTACCGAGTCCCGTGGTCTGTCATGGCTGTTGAAGGAGATGAATGCAATTGTGGATGCCATCTTGTTAAGGTTCATCTACTTGCAGGGTCCACTTTATTATGGTTTTCTGTGTGTGTTTCAAGGGAGTCCTGGTGGCGTAGTCGTGATACATTGAACTGTGATCCGAAAGGTCCACAGTTTGAGATCACCAGCCTCTCAAAGAGTTGCAGTCTCAGAACCCACAGGGGCAGCTCTACCCCGCCTCGTGGGGTCTTTCTGAGTCGGCATCGACTCGATGGCAGTGAGTGTGTGTGTGGTTTGTGTGCAGCTCCTCTATGGAAGGTTTCCCTCCCCCAAAGACCATGGAGATGGGTTTCCTTTCAAGTTAATAATTTGCGCTCTTGCATATAGGTTCTACAGTCAGTAGTATGTGCGTGTGATCATGAAGTAACTGATCGTTCATTTCCATTGTCTGTGTCTTTTAATGTTTTGTCTGATTTCAGCCACTATTCAGTGATAGTCCATGAGTGCTTCCATGGTGAGGAGCAGCGCTGAGAGGAGACAGCATACGTTGTGTCTCGGTGGACTTTCAGGATGATCTCTTATTTTTTATGTTTGTACGATGAACAAACTGATTGATTTCATATGCTAAAGCAACCTTGCGTCTCCAGGTGAAACCTTCTTGATCGCAGGATATCATTTATTGATAGATTGATTTCATTTGTAGGTTCCTCGTTAAGAGGTTTTGTGTCTATACTCGAGAGGGATTTTGATCTGTAGCTTTATGTGGTTTTCATTTCAGGCTCTTGGTAACAATTTCTTTCATAAGAATGCCAAGGTAGTCCCAAGGAGTATGTTAATTGAGTATAACTCAAGGGTGAGTCAGAAAATTTTGCTACAAAGTCATAGCAATCTTTATTAGACAAGAAAGTCAAAACGGGGGGCTGTTTCTTGACACACTTTCCATCTAGGCCTATACACTTCTGAAGGCATGGTCTCCCTCCTTCTAACCCTTCCCACAACATACTCTGTCCTCTTCATTTACATCATGTCAAAATGACACTTCTGGCATCTGTAAGGGACACAAACGATCTTCATTTTCAGTGTTAGAATCTGGGGAACAAACAGCAATATGAAGGGGTGTGCATGGGGTAAGGTTCCCAAAGAAGTTATTTTTAAAGCAATTTTATTGGCATATAATTCACAAATCATGCAATTAAATAAGTCAACCATATTAAGAAGAGTTGTACAATCATCACCACAATTAATTTTAGAACCTTTTCTTCTTTCTAGGACTAACTGCTGTTAGCTCCCCCC